CTTTATGATCCAGGGACACTCATTTTCTTGCTGTTTTTCGCAAATGATGCTGCATTGTCTTGGTTTTTCCCTTGTGCCCAGAATGCTTTCTTCTTGCTTCCCCTAGCCCCACCATTTGCAGGAGGCTTTTGGGGGTGTCCCCCCTTACCCCAGCTACCGTTTCCTTCCCCTCTGATATTCCCTTTCATCTCCTCTGTTCTTTATGTGTTATGTCCCCCATTAGAATTTAAGCTCCTTGAGGGCAGAGACTGTGTTTGCTTTTCATTTTATCTGTCATTTAGCACAGTGCCCGGCACATAGTAGGTGTTTAATACGTGCTCATTGACTGAATGATTGAGAGTTTAGATGGAAATCGTCCTAAAAGTGATTATACTCCAAACACAACGTTGCCTTCTTTATCAAAGTATATTCAAAATTAGATTCCTCATGTAGATAACCATCACCATCCCCTAATTCTATGGCCTATAATAATCGTATTCTCTTCATATATAACAGTAATGTTTTTTTGGGGGGGGGGGGATCAGATCTATGATTTTGCAGGAATTCCTAGTGAAGACATTGCATCTCCCAATGCAGATTGGTGCCTACTGTACCATTTATAGTCTTACAGAGTTGCCTGGGGAACTGAGGCACGGACAGCCAACGTATGTCAATGATGGGAGGCCACCACCACAACCTCATACAGCAGAATGTTCTTACATAAATACAAAGATGAACCTCCCCGTCTCCCACTCCAGTCATCCTTGCAAACAGCCCTTGGGGTCAGGGGCCAAGATCATGCCCGACCCCATATACCATGAGGCTTGGATTTTTCCACCTTTTGAGGATGGGAGAATCAAGATCTCTTTAATTGCAGTGGCTTCTAAAGAACCTGGCATTTTCTTACAAACCACTTTTCTGTCAGGGGGTTTTCAAGGCTTAAACGTGTGTGGGAGACAGTAGATTTGTCACCAGAGCTGCTTTATTAGAAATCCCTAAATGGGCCAATCTGCCTCTCATCCTTTGCCTTTGACTGGTTTGATTGCCATGTCTCCGGAAGACATTCAAGCCTCAAACACATATTCATACGACTCCAGAAGATGAATTGCCCTGATTTTATTTTTCCTCCTGAGCGTTTTGAAGGAAGAGAATGTTGCCTGACTGATCAATACCCTTCATGGCAGATCATTTTTCCACCAGTCCAAGAGAAGGCTTGTGTTTCATGATTCAGCGTGTGCTTCCTGGTCGTGCTTTTGGGGACACTGAGAGAGGTTTCACTTTAGGGGCTGTTGTTCTTTGGATTCTGGTCTGTATTTCACACAGCTCGTTCTCCTCTCCTCAGTCAACCCCAGAGGCTCCCCATTGCCTCCAGGGTCAAAAAAGACACCTCTATGGAGCCTTTGAAACACTTTCCCAACCTTGCTTCACCCATTTTTTGCCAGCCTCATTGGATATGATGCCCCCCTCCTGCACTCTGCAGTCTGGCAAAACTAGCCCTGGCACTGAATGCACCCCTCTCCAATAACCTCTGCCTTCCTCTCTCAGGTAGGCTTCCCCTCTCCCTTCAAGATGCAGCCCAAGTACCAGTGGTGTTCCATCATGCCACTGCTGGGGCCCTCCCTCCCAACTTCCTTGTATGTCTTTGTATTTATTCTCTCTCTGTTCATTCTGCATATGTGTACATATACTTGTTGTCTTCTCATTTAGAATGTTAGCTCCTCACATGGAAGGATTGTTTCACTCTCTGTGTTTGTATGCTCAGTGCCTCACACACAGTAGGCACTTGATAAGTGCTCATCAATTGTTGATTGGTTTAAACCTACAAAAGAATTTATTGGGGGCATTGAAGAGAAGACCAGAAATAAAAAGGAACGAAGGAAGGGAGAAAGAAAGGAAGGGATAAAGGAAGATAGAGAGGAAAAGAAAGAGAAAGAAGGAAGAGAGAAAGAAAGGGAGGAAAGGAAAAAATAAAAAAGAAAAAGTAAGGAAAAGAAGGAAGGAAGGAAGAAAATGAAAAAGGAAAGAGAAAAGAAAGGAAGAATAAAGGGAGGGAGACAGAAGAAGGAAGAGAAAAAGGAAGGAGGGAGGAAAGGGATAAATGAAGAAAAAGGAAGAGAAGGAAGGAAGAACAAAAAGAAAGAGAAAAAGAAAGGAAAAAATAAAGGGAGGGAGGAAAGAAAGAAAAAAGGAAGGAGGAAAGAAAATAAAAAGTAAGGGAAGAGAGAAAAAAGAAAGAAAAAGGAAGGAATAAAGGGAGGGAGAAAGAAGAAGGAGGAAAGGGAGAAATAAAGAAGAAAATAAAAAAGTAAGAAAAAGAAAAGGAAGGAAGAACAAAAGAAGGAAAGTAAGAAAAAAAGGAGAAGGAAAGTCATCTCCTATAATTTGAAATCCCACCTCAATCGACAGGTTCCTGGGTTGGGTTGTATTTTTTTTTTTTTTCTGACACTCAAGGTGTGATCAGATAACCTATCAGCCCACAGGAGAGTGGACAGTTAATTAAAATTTTTGCTCCTTCTCCTTGGAGTTTGATAAGCGCCCGGCATTTTGAGTGTTATTTGTGTGCTTTCTCTTCCTTAGTGAAGTGTCACGGAGAGAAGATCAAAGAAGCTTTTCCAACTGGGGACGTGCGAGACTGACTCTTGGGCCTCAGACTCTCTTAGCTAATGGGTTTCAAGACCCCTTCAGGCGGCCGTGGGGTTCATCTTCTCTCCCCTCCATCCTCTTGTCCCCGTGTCCCTGGTGCAGAAAACAGCCCTCCAATGGCTCTTTAAAGAAAAACACATCAAGGCCTTTCCTTCGGTGCCAGCTCAGATAATTAGGGTGGGAGAGTCTGGCGCTGGGAAGAGCCCTGCCGACATTTCTGTGTTACTTTTCAATGTGCCCACAGGACCTCCTAAATTCAAACCTTTGGGATTTGCCTTCTCAGCCGCCTTCACCGGTCTTTTTTGCCCTCACAATCCCAGGCCCCCCTGGCCACCGTCCCATGCCCTGGCACAAACATCTGCCAGGAGCCTGCCACTGGCAGCCAAATCGCCCATGAGGGTGGGCAGGGCATAAGCCTGGCTGAGCAGACGGGCCTGGCTGAGCAGACGGGTCCGGCTCCCGCAGAGGGCTTCGTTCATTGTCTGGGCGCCCCGAGTGCCTGCTGAGAGAGCTGGCCGAGGTGGCAGACGAGCCCGGCCCTCTTCAAATGGTTCCCTCGCCCCTCTCCCCGGCAGCCACTCAGTGGGCTTTGTGCCGCTGGGATGCTTGGCCTCGTTGCCATGACTACTATCTGATTGTGGCTGGTTTGTCACATTTCTTGATAAAGTGGGAAGGTTATCCTTGATAGACCCAAGTAATCATAACCTCAAGAAGTGGGAGAGAGTGTGTGATTTAAAAAAAAAAATTAGAAATGCCAGGGTTTGCGGGGGAGGCAGTGCTGGAAGGGAGGAGGGAAAAAATCACCAACAATGGATGAAAAAGTCTTTCTTTCTTGAGATGGTGGCTGCAGACCCAGGGAGGACAGGGGTGGGGGGGGTGGGGGGGGGCAACAGGCTGGACTGGCCCAGGCTTCATGCTGCAAGGGGTCATCTCAGCAGGAGGGGACCCGCATGTGAGATTGGTGTTCTGGTGGGGTGCCCTGCTGTGGGTGTGATGGAGTGGATGAGTGGGGCTCCCGAGACAGAACTGGGGCATACAATTTCTCTCTGCATTCAATGGCTGCTGCCTGGCATAGAGAATGAAAGGCAAAATGCAGTGTTGTTGACTGGAAACGGGTGCCTGTGAGAGAGAGAGAGAGAGAGAGAGAGAGAGAGTGAGTGTGTGTGTGTGTGTGTGTGTGTAAGGATTATGCTCCACAGGTATCGTTATGCTGCCAGGAGCATGTTGGCCAGACCTCTTGGGGTGAACCTACAGGAAAGTGTAGACGACTTACTCAGGGTGGGCAGGCATGCCCGGGCTCAGTGGTGTGTGTCTAAACACATGTGTGATTGTCACAGGGGGAGGAGGCAGGGAACCCCGGGGTAGCCTTGTGGTCAGTGATCCCCCAGTGTGACCCCACACAAGTCACTTCATGCGTCCCAGGCCACCCTCCGAGATTGTAAGTTACAGACGAGTTGCCGATATGATAATAATGCATCCTAATAATAATGATAACATGATAATAGCTGTATATACTCCTTCTAGGTTTGCAAAGCTCTGTAAGTATGTTATCTCCTTCGACCCTCTCAACCACCCTGTGAGGTAGGCGTTACTATTATGCCCATTTTACAGAAGAGGAAACTGAGGTGCAGGGATTTGCGCAGGTCATAGAGCATCCTAATCCCTCGCTCTTTGTTAGAGCCGGAAGGGAACTTAAAGGTCATTGTCCCTCGTTTTACAAAAGAGGAAAATGAGTCTAAGGCGGGGTTGAAGCGTCTCCCTGGATGCTAGTTAGCACCGTGGTCAGTCAGGCTAGCTGGGCTGCAGGGCACATTTCCGGGTCAAGGATCAGGCGTGGGGAAATTGACAGCTCTGTCCACAGCCCAGGGTGGGGGACAAATTGGGTCAGTTCAAGCGAAAGGGTATTCCTGGCAGTTCCCCAATGCTGCGGCACATGGGAGCCAAGGCTGGTCTTTTCAGGCACGAGGCGATGGACCTGGTGTTGGTGTCCTCCTGTGTGATAAGAGGAATAAACCGCAGAGTGTGTGTGTGTGTGCGTGCGTGTGTGTGTGCCCGCGCGTGTGTGTGTGCTCGTGCTCTCGCTGGGTGCAGATTACTCAGGCTCATTACAGGCACAATGTCATTTAACTCCCCGTGAAACCCTTTGAAGCCCCCCAGCGTGAGGCCGCACGCTCTGAATACCTTTTTGTTCCAAGCGAGGTAATTGTGCTTTGTTAATGGAACTCCCAGGAGGCCCATGGTCCCAGCGCCAGGAAGGCAGGATTCTGGGCTGGGTCCGGGGACCGTCGGCTCGTCCCCTCGCCAGCTGTCTCCCACCCCCATCCTCTCCTTCGCCCACCAGAGAGGACGATCCTAACGACGGCTTTTCTCTTCCCCAGGGTGTCGAGGTGCAGACAGATTACATCCCGCTGCTGAACTCCCTGGCCGCCTACGGCTGGCAGCTCACCTGTGTGCTCCCCACGCCCATCGTAAAGACCAACAGGTAACGCGCGACTGGGGGGTGTCTTGGCCCCAGCAGATGGCCCCGCGGCATCTTAAAATGTGAAAAGCAGAGTGAAGCAAGCATCTATGAAGCACCTACTGTGTGCTGAGCGTTTTACAAATAGTAACTCCTCTGTTCCTCTGGAGCGCCCCGTGAAGTCCGTGCTGTAGGTGTCCCCATGGTGCGGGTGACCTGACCACGGTCCCCGAGGCAGGATTTGAACCTCAGACCTGCCTTCTGTCCCTGACACCACGTGGAATCTTCTTGCAGAAGCCAGACAGCTGTGGGCAGATGCAGGTTGGTTCAGATGGGCTGAATCAGTATGGCTGAACTTGGAGTCAGGAGTCCTGGGTTCTAATCCCACCATTGTGAGCCAGATGACTGTGGGCAAGTAATCTCTCTGAGGGGGCCGCTTAGTTAAAGAGGGGACATTCAGTGCTGGGACCCCCTACCTCACAAGAGTGTTCTGAGGAAAGCACGTTGGGAGCGGCGTCAGCCTCTGAGAAGAGCCTGAGAAGATTGATAGAAAGATTGGGAATCTTGACACCCCTCTGTGAGGATGAGGGGCAGGATAGTGTAGCGGAAAAAACAAGGACGGCTCTGTGCCTCAGTTTCCTCATCTGTAAAATGGTGCAGCTAGGTGGTGCAGATGATAGAGCACCAGGCCTGGAGCCAGGAAGATCTGAGTTCTCATCCTGCCTCAGATACTTCTACCTCTGTGACCATCAGCAAGTCATTTAACCCCCATTAGCCTCCGTTTTCTCATCTGTAAAATGGGGATAATAATAGTCCCACCTCCCGGGGGTGTTGTGAGGACCAACTGAGATAATATTTGTAAAATGTACAGCATGGTGCCTGACATTTTTTTTGTTGTTGTTATTCAGTCTTTTCTGATCCTTTGTGACCCCATCTGGGGTTTTGTTTTGTTTTTTTTTTGGCAAAGATACTGGAGTGGTTTGCCATTTCCTTCTCCAACTCATTTCACAGATGAGGAAACAGAGGCAGACAGGGTGAAGTAACTTGTCCAGGGTCACACAGCTGGCAAGTATTTGAGCCTGGATTTCAATTCAGGTCTTCTTGACTCCCAGGCCTGGTGCTCCATCTACTGCACCACCTTGCCACCCTGTACCTGACATACAGCACATGCTTAATAAATGCTTATTCCTTCCCCATCCCCCTTAAAATGGGGATGATAATGGTGCCTACCTTCCACAGTTGTTGTAAGGATACGATGAAATATTATTTGTAAAATGCTTTTTAAACCTTATAAATGCTGGCTGTTTATTATTGTTATTATTATTCAGAACTAGAACTACCTGAGGTCCTCAAGTCCATCAGATGGAGAAACTGAGGTCTAGAGAGGAAAAAGTAGCCCAAGGCCGCAAGTGGCTGAGGCAAGATTTGAACTCAGATCTTCGGATCTTCCAAAATCAGTGCCCTCTTTAATACCAGCATCAGGATGCCTGGGTCCTAGGCCGGGAAGTCGGCAAACGCTGACTCAGTATCTGCTGTCTGCCAGGTACTGGGCTAAGTGTTGGGAATAGAAAGAAGGGGAAAAAAGAAAAAAAAAAAAAACCAGTTCCCAGTCTCAAGGAGATCGCAGATGAATGAGGAGACAGCAGGAAGATGAGTGTGTACAAACAAGATATATATGCGTGTGTGTGTGTGTGTGTATAAAATATGTACACATACACATACATATATACACACATATACATATACATACGGCATACATATCTAGACATACATACACACATGCACATACACATCACACATACATATACAGACATACATACACATGCACATACACACGACACACATACACAGACACACATACACAATGCATATACACACAACACACATACACACATGCATATACATATGATACACATGTGCATACACACGTGCATATACAGACATACATGCACACATTCATAGACATATGACACACACATACACGTACAGACACACACACACACACACCCAAGTATAAATCGGAGCTTGCCATCAGCGGGGAGGCTCTTACTGGGCTTAAGGCCTGGGGAAGCCCTTGCTCACTTCCCCTGAAGTTTCCTCATTTGTAAAATAAAGATAATTTACCTACTCTTGGTAACCCCAGTTCTCCGGAGAGTCAGGTGACAATCCCGCATGCGAGAACCCTTGGAGGGTTGAAACAGAAGGCGCTGTTCATCTGGGCCCCTCGCCCGCCGCCTGGCTGCCCTGAAGTTACGCTTACTCTATAGGGGTGCCGGGCACCCCGATAGAGTCAGAGCTTCTCAGAGGCAGGAAGGGGCTGTTTTTGTCTTAGGGACCCTGGGCTGGGGATGCAGAACCTCAGGGACCTCCGAGGCCCCGAGAGGCAGTGGCCCACCTGGGTTCCCTTAGGGATTCCTGGGTGATGGAGCCAGGATTGGACTGAGGTCCTCTTTCTAACCCTGGTTAAGGTCCACGCTTAGAAGCAGGATTCGAACCTTGTGTCAGCAGAGCCCATTGCCTTCTCCCACACAGGGCCTGCTGCTTGATTGACTCATTGACTGGCGTGTCCTCGTCCTCCCTCCCCATGTGCGATGTGGCCTCCAGGTTACCTCCCGGCTGGGCCGCCATCTTGTCATCCTCTCTGAGCTGGGGCTTGGGGCGAGCCCCTCATCCTCCCGCCCCCCTCACGTTTGGAGGCAGCTGGAGTAGCCAGCTTTACTAGAGAAATCTGCAGGAGGAGGGCCGTGGGGGTCCTCACCCCCGGGCAGAGCAAAGCAGGCGGCGCGTCTTGGGAGAGTCTGATCTCCATGAAGGAAGAACGCGGAGAGCGCCTTTCTGTGTCTCAGGGGAGGGCAGTGATGCTCAGCATCCAGCCTCACTTGCCACCCACAGACCCTCTTTGTTCCCCATTTAAATGAGACTCAGAGCCGCTGGACCAGGGCTGGGCTTGATTAACGGAGGCCCTGGAGGGATCCCGCTGGCCGCTGCCTTGCCACCCCTTGACATCTGCGCGTTAATCAGCGCTGCCGCGGGATGAGCTGTGACGCGCTGCCACGCTGCTTACGCCCAAGCGGAAAGCCGTGTCGGGTGATGGAGGGGAGAGGAGGCAGCGGCAGGGAGAGCACCTCCAGGCCACAGGAGCCCTTTGGCCTCTTCTTGACGAGCCCAGGATACGAGCCCAAGATGCAGCAGCCCACCAAACCCAAGCGTTTTAATCGAGATGCAGTGACCTCCCCAGGGTCACGCAGTTCCTGACTGTCAGAGGTGGGATTGCAACCCGTGTTCCCGACACAGGCTCGTCACTCAGTGCCTTAGGCCCTGACAGCTTCTCTCTTCCGTGTGTTACGTAGACGCTAATGAAGAGAAAGCTGGGTTTACGGTCACGGAGATCTGGATTCAAATCCTGACTCTGGCATTTATTGCTGTGTGACCCTGGGTGAGTCATTGATCATAGGATGGTAGATGTGGGACTGGAAGGCCCCTGACAGGCTGTCTCTACCTACTGACCTCCCCGGCTTCTTGAACTCCCCCCCCCAGGGGGAGCCTTCCCCAGCCCCTTAATTCCAGCGCCTTCCCTCTGTTTGTTATTTCCCCTCTGTTATTTTTGTTTATTTGCATGCTGTCTCCCTCGTCAGATTGTAAGTTTCTCAAGGGCAGGAACTGCCTTTTGCCTCTTTGTATCCTCAGCTCTTAGCACAGTGCCTGGCACGTAGTAGGTGCTCAGTAAATATTGATCGCTACTCTTTTTGTATCCCTGGTGCCTGGCACATAGTAGGCGCTCAGTATGCATGTTACTGCTATACAGCTGAGATGTTTGAGCTCCTCATGGACAGGATGCTTAGCACAGTGCCTGGCACATAGTAGGTGCTCGGTAAATATTAAGTGCTACTCTTTTTGTACCTCTAGTGCCTGGCACAGAGTAGGTGCTCAGTAAATATTGATTGATTGTGACTGCCATACAACTGAGATGATTGAGCTCCTTGAGGGCAGGGACTATCTTTTGCCTTTGTTTTGCCTGGTGCATAGTAGGCATTTAAAAATATTTATTGATTAACTGACTTCTTGTCTAACTCCCTCTTTTTACAGATGAAGAAGCCGAGACCCAGGGAAGTGACATGACTTGGGTAATGCAGGTAGCCACACAGAGGCAGGATTTGAATCCAGGCCCTCAGAACGCCTGATGAAATCTTCCTGCTGCTCCATGCTATGACTTATGTGTTGTGTTCCTTAGACTTAGCTACAGATCTGCTAATTCAGTGGCTTTGTGACCTTCGCCAAGTCATTTCCCTGCTGTGGGTCTCAGTTTCCCCATCTGTAAAATGAGGAGCTTGGATTAGACAACCTAAAAAAGTCCCTTCCAGTTCTAAGTCGACAATCCTAGGAGGTCTTAAATGGGATGCTCTGGGCCTCGGCGGAAGGAGGTCCCACACTGGGAGTCCCCTACCCTAATGAAATCTTAGATTATTTTTGTGTTCCTGTGTAACTAAGGCTGTACCTGGCTGGTGCCCCCTTCCAGGGGTTCTGAATAGTCCCCTTGGCCGTGTCACATCACAGCGGGGTGACGGGCTTTTATTTCCAGGACTGACTTCACCAAGATGCCCCAAATACTACATCTGACTTTGGGGGGCTGCTACCAAAAGTCAGGGAGCCGTGACTGAGGGGCTCGGATGAGGGTTTGTCAAAAAACCAAAAAGCTCCCTGGAAACTTTAACATGGGGCCTTTCTTTGGGGTCTGGTCTGGGGTTTGGAATTTCCTCCCGAGTCCATGCGTGGCGCTTACCCAGGGTTGAATGTCTTACAGGGAGGGAAACATGGCCACCAAACAGATCGTCTTCCTTCAGAGACCCTCTCTACCTCAGAAAGCCAAGAAGAAGGAATCCAAGGTGAGTGTGACCTTGACTTCTTTCCTGGGGCCCTTCCCAGGTGATGCCCTCTCCCCTCCCCGCAGCCAAGGGGATCCCTGAACCGCATTCCTGAAGCGCCAGGTGCCCAGGCGATGACCTGTGTCCACCCCGGCCGAGGCGGAGGCCCGACGATGTCTGGGGGGCCTCATCCAGCCGTCCTCAGTGGTCGGCCCCAAGGAGCTGGAGGAGAGCCCTGCTGGAAATTAGACAAACGTGCAAAATATTCTTTGCGGCTATAAATAAGGAAATAAATCCGGCTGGAGGCAGATGAGGGGACAGACGCTTGAACCTGTGCCAGGGTTCTGTGTATTTTAATCTCATTACAAGAGGAGCTCCCCTCCCCCAACCCCAGCCTCCTCTCCCTGTAGGTTTTTCTTCCTCCCCTCCTCAGATTTGTAGCCTGTGCAGTTAGGAATTTTCAGCACATTATAAGGTGTAAAGGACGTGTGGTGACCTTGGCCTCGAGGGGCCTCTGTAGGGGCCCTTCCTGCCACCTGGGCCCCTCTGAGGGGCTCCAGGGCAAAGCTGCCTGCCAAGCAATGCTTTCACAATGTTAGTCCCATGGTGGAACAGAATCCCAAGGCAGGAAGAAAAGGGTCATCTGGGCCATCCCGCTCCTCCTGACAGGCTCTGAGGTCATCTCCAACCCTCTCATTTTACAAACGAGGAAACTGAGGCCCAGAGAAGTTAATTCCAAAATCTCACAAGCAGTAGCAGAGCCAAGATTTGAACTCAGGTCCTCAGAATCTAGATCAGCATTTTTTCTGCTTTTCCAGATAGCGCTTCTCTCTCTCTCCCTGTGTCTCTCTCTGTCTCCCTGTCTCATTGTCTCTGTCGCTCTTTTTTTTGGTGAAGCAGTTTGGTTTAGGTCACTTGCCCAGAGTCACACAGCTACTGACTGTTGTGTATCTGAGGCCAGATTTGAACTCGGGTCCTCCTGACTTTAACACTACTGCTCTATCCACTGCGCCACCTACCTGCCCCCAGATAGCCTCGCTTAACAAGGGTCTCTCACATGTCACTCAACTAGCATTTATTTCTTAAGCACCTACTATGTGCAAGACACTGTAGGAAATGCTAGATATAACAGAAAAACAATTATCTTGATATTCCACTGACTTTCTTGGCTAAAAAAAAAACGTCGTTCAGTCGTTTCAGTTATATTCGACTCTTTGTGACCCCATTGGGGGTTTTCTTGGCAAAGATAATGGAGTGGTTTGCCGTTCCCTTTTCCAGCTCATTTTATAGATGAAGAAACTGAGGCAAACAGGGTTCAGTGACTTGCCCAGGGTCACACAGCTGTGTGTGTGTCTGAGGCTAGACTTGAACTCAGGTCTTCCTGTTTCTAGGCTGGGCATTCCATCTATTGCACCAGCTAGCTGCACCAACCCCCCAAGAAAATTAAGTATCTCCCAATTCTGGGAACTGTTCCGCGGTTCTACTTTAGGTCTCACTACTTTGAACTCAAACGCCTTTAAACTTTAATGGCACGGTGAAAGGGATACCCTACCTTTCCAGCAAGTAAGACAAAGTGGTCCAGACACCTGCTTAGCTTGGGGTCTCAGCACTTCTGTAGCAGTGTGTTGCAGTGGCCTCAGAGCTGGAAACACCAGGGTTCAGGTCCCATCTCTGCTCCAGCCTGGCAGAAGTGTTGGAGGCGGGCCCGGCCTGGGCGTGGAGATCTGGGACACGTGTGCCCGCAGCTCTTTCCGGGTTTCACAGCCTTCCTCGTACAGAGGGCCAGATGAGAAGAGGAGAGCCTGGGGATGAGGCGGGGGTGAGGGGGGGAGTGGTGAGGAGCAGAGCTGATTCAGATGCGGTGGATGCACAGTAAGTGCTTTCCCTCTGCCAGGAGCTGGGGTGATCAGAGACGTAGGTGGGAAGCAGTCTCTGCCTGTACAAAGCATATAGCCCAGTATGGGAATGGGATGCAAACATAGATTACTATGATGCAGAGTATTGCATGATAAATGGGTCAGAAACTTGAAAAAGAAAGGACTGCGTGATGTTGGAGAAGGGACGTTTGAGTCAGGCTTTTGGGGGAGGGGGGGTACAGACCTAGCATTTCAGCAGCGGGGACACCTCCCAGAGTTCATGTTCCCTCCATCGGGGCAGATGTGGGAATTCCTTCTGCCGACGCAGATCCCCAGTCGTCCTGCCAATCACAGCCTTAGAGAGTGACCTCAGGCAGGGAGAAGGTAGGTGACTTGGTCAGGGTGACACAGGCAAGACCTGTCAGAGTCAGAACTGGAACCCAGGTCTTCTCAACACCAAAGAGAGCCCCTCTATCCGGTGTGCAGTAAGGAGGAAGAGGAGACATAGCGGGCAGTTGGTGGATGAAGGAGTTGAAAGGGGTGCATGGGACGTTCCACCCCAACCTCCTCTTCTTTTACCCAGGTAAAAACTGGGGCAGAGAAATTACAGTGACCTCCTTGCTCAGGGTCACAGAGAGAGGAGCTGGCGGAGGCAGGATTTGAACCCAGGTCCTTCCAGCTTCAGAGCCAGTCCTCTGTTGACTCCACTGCCCTGTTGGTGGGACGCAAAGGAGCCTGACCTGATGTGCGTGTGTGTGGAGGAGAGGAAGAGGACAGGAGGGGAGAAAGGCCGAGTGTTGCCAGCTTGCGGGCGGCCTCTGATGCCAGGGAAAGGGTCTGAATTCATCAGCCCCCAGGGGCAATTTGGGGCAAAGGAATAACATGACCAGAGTCATACATAAGAGAAAGAATTTGGGCAGCTTTGTGCCGGATGGAGGGAGGGAGGAGAATGGGAGAGGAGAGAAGGCCGCTCAAGAGGCTATTGGAAGATGGCGGCCGGGGAGCCCCCGGGGGACTGGTCAGATACAAGAGATGGGGCTGGGGGCAGAGCTGGCATCAAGAAGCCTTGGTAACCGGCCAGTCTGAGTTATTCACACACCCACACATACCCCCCATTTTTCTTTATTCTGAATGAAACAACCACCAAGTAAAACAAGCATTTCCACACATAGACTGGAGTGCTGGGGACTGTTTGGGGCCTTTCTTCATATCCCCAGCACTTACACAGTGCCTGGCATGTAGTAGGCACTTAATAAATGCTTGTTGTCCGACTGATTTTGTGGAACCGAAGAAGATGGCTGTGTGTGAAACTGAATCTCTATTATACAGACTTTGCTCCTCAACAGAGCATGTGACGTGAAGTAGATTTCCCCAGAGAGGACTGTTTACGTGGTGATTTGTAAGTGATGGTGGAAGTGGGGAAAGGATAGGAAAGTAAGGCTATTTATTGGCACAGTTCTGGGACCTCCCAGCGGTAACAGGGAGCGAGCAGGTCCTGTAATAATGTGCAGCCAGGGGTCCTTGTTACTGACTGCATAGACTTTTCCCTCTGCCCTGTGCCCAAGTGAACAGGGGGTTGGGCAAGAGATAGATAAGGAGATATAGAGAGGCAGGATAGATGGATGGATGGATGGATGGTTAGATAGATAGACAGGTAAATGAATAGACAGATAGATGGATAGATAAACAGACAAGATGGAAGGATAAATACATAGATACCAAGACAGGATGGAGAGAGGGAGAAAGGAGATGGATGGGTGTATGGATAGATAGACAGGTAAATGGATAGATAGACAGATGGATAGATAGGATGGATGGATAGATAAATAGATACAAAGACAGGATGGAGGGAGAGAGAGGAGATGGATGGATAGATAGACAGGTAAATGGATAGACGGATAGATAGAAAGATAAGATGGATGGATAGATAAATACATAGATACAAATACAGGATGGATGGATAAATACATAGATACAAAGACAGGATGGAGGGAGAGAGAAAGAGAGGAGATGGATGGGTGGGTGGATAGATAGACAGATGGATAGATCCAGTCTAGCACTCTTATTTACTTGGCCTCCATCTCCCATTGGAATTGGAATCTGCTCATGTTTGGCCATTTCTGCATGGTGAAGGGCTTTGCATGTGACTAGAACTGAGACTCCCTGGGATAGAATGCCATGTTGTGTTGATTATGCTCATAAACTAGAGTCACAATGACTGATGGTGACCTCTAGACTGAAGGGGCAAAGGTCTGACTTCTTTCATAGGAAAAAATATTGGAAGAGGAAGGTGGCGCTTTGGGCCCCCACCCAGATTGTGTTGGAGGAGAAGGGGCCAGAAGGCCCTTAATTTTGGAACGAGATGCCATACCTCGAGCAACAGATCACTGAGGAAGACCACAGAATAGCCCCTCTCTTCTCCCTGGCCAGAGAGCAGCGCATTTGGCCCATTGATGATTTTGAGGGAAAAGGTAGAGGCTTTAGGAAAGACCAGGCCAAGAAGACCATATAGTTGACAAGCTAGAATTCAGTCAATCAATCAACAAACATTTATTAAGCACCTACTATGTGCCAGACACTCTGCGAGGTGCTGGGGATAAAAAATGAGAAATGAGACAGTCCCTGCCCTCGAGGAGCTTACGTTCTTTTGGGGGATAAACAATACATGCCTCGGAATTTTAATTTCAAGAGCAATGTGAAGTATCTCCCGGACGTTCCACTGGAAATCTCCTTCCAAGTTGACATCAAACCTTTTTTCCGTGGGTCTCGATGTTTAGTCAGGTCTAAATCTGTTCATCTGGTTGTGCTGTCATGTGTGGGTAAGACCAAGAATCCTTTGGAGGGGATGCTTTTCTCTTGGATGTATTCATAAACTGAGAATCACAGTGACTGACGGGGACCTCCAGACCGAAGAGACAAATTTCTGGCCCACATCTCTCCATCTTTCCCATGAGATAATCAAGGCACAGTCCCTGCCCTCACATTTATATAGTGCTTGAAGGTTATGCAGGGTGCTTGTTCTGTGCTGTCTCGTTCAAGTATCCCCATTTTACAGATGAGGAAACTGAGGTTCTCTGATCCAGCCAAATTAGCCATCTCTCTGCTCAGCACACTTTATTTCCTGTATTTGTGCCTTCCTATTACTTTTAGTCATTTTTCAGTCAT